TTTGGGTCAGGCAATCAGGAAGTCCTTCAAAAAGTCTAGATGAACTCTGGAAAGACGCTGCAGCATTCACCTCTCAAACCACAAAGATGGTAGAAACATCCAGTCTCTCGGCCCTCAAATCTGACCATCCATACAAGTTGAAACCATATGGAATTTCATGGACACGTCTACATGGGAAAAGATCAAACAGACTCTCATTTGTAATATATATTAAAGACCTTTTCCTGTGGCATTTGGAGTGAATGATCCTCGTCTGTCCAAGAAGGAATCAGCCCCCGTGATACTAAGACCATTTATCGTAACTAAAGGGGAAGGCACCCTGGCAATTCATGGTGGTGCCCACTTATTCCTCCTATCGTTCAGTGAGCTCTCTGAAAGCCACGCTTTACCAGACCTGCATTTTTAGCAAAGGTATGCAGATGTAACACAAAAGGATGGTGTACCCAGAAAACATCTCTATCGGAAGACAGCATCTCAAATCGATTTTGAGGACAACAAAGGATGGGGCTTCTGAGGGTTGTTGCTAATAATATCCGCGTGGCTTTGAGTTATTCCTCCTAAATAAGCTGATATAAAGAACATGCCTAATACTGTCCCAGATGCCTAGTAAATGTTTGCTAAATCAGAAATGTTTTACCATCAGACTTGCCAAACCTGACACTGTTCTAGACCCAACTAACAATACAGTGTCATTATCAGCATGCTTGACCCTATATGACAGTGGTCTCGTGCCCTCATCTGTTATTAGTAGGGCTCTATCAGGTGTTCCCCAGCTGCCCAGGATAAAGAAGTCCTAGTGAAATCGAGAATGGCCAGTGTTTCCAGAAGCTCTAGTGGGCAAGAAGCTTTGGGTTGAACTCCAGAGATGTCAGAACTGGAACATTTAAACCATCTAGAAGGATGCCTCTTTAAAACTTCAGTTCTATGTGTAGTGTCAGTGGAAAAACTCCTGTTTTTGTCCTAAGTGATCAGAGACTTGATGGCTGAGCCAGATTGGATTTAAAGCCATCTCTCTGGGACTCTCCCTGGTCACCAGCCACATCTCACTCATGCCCACAGCGCAGACTCCACGTAAAGAGATGCTATGGTGGAAGATGCTGGGTGGCAGTGAATCCATCATCGAGACAGGTGAACTATGAGATGATCTCTTGTTGGTTCGACGGACAACTTTCCATACCATTACTAACACAAAATGCCCACACACCTTAAAAATTAAATTCCAAGTGATAAAACCAGAATTAGACTTACACGTTTAGACGTATCTTTATCACGGGACTTACAGGAGAAAGAACGGGCAAGTAAAAACCTAGCCTCCAAGGTAGCTTTGAGGAAAATCTTTATACCAAAATCCTATCCAAAAGGAGGTGCTCAAATGACTTGCCAGTTAATTTTAGAACAGGAAGCGGATGGTCATCAAACAAAAAGCTAAGTTGAAATGGAAAGAGCATCAGTAAACACTGAATAGACCAGGTTCCTTACAATGTATCTCGAATTTCTGGAGGTATGACATCCAGTTGGGGTCTCCTAAAAAGTTGACTGATAGGGGCATCTGACTGGCTCTGTTGGCAGAGCCTGAGACTCTTGATCTCAGGGTCGTGAGTTCGAGCCCTACATTGGGCATAATATCGAAAGCTCTTTAAAAAAAAAAGTGACTGATAATATAACCAATGCAATTAATCGGTGATTTTTCACTTGAACGGTATCTTGAGTACTATCTGAAATCCAGGCAATGAGAACAAAGTCAGAAACTATTAACACTTAGTTGGTGCGCTGGAAATTTCAGAAGCACGCTCAGTAACCCTGAGTGTGGAGCATATCCATTTCCCCTTGAAACACAGGATTTAAAAGTTCCCTGTCTGTGCCCTACTTCTGCATCATCCGAATACATGTGGTTATGAATATTTAAAAGTGGGTTCATTTTTAAATTATACTGGCAAATCTAAATTAGCATTCAAATTCCTCCCTGGAGTCTGAAATGTTTGACTGACATTGTGGTTTTAAGAACTTAATGCAATGTTTCAGGGATCCTGGGCAGGTGAGCTAAACAGCATGACAGAGGAAGAGGGGAGGGCTATGCTCTTTATTTGGGATATCCTTGAGCACATCACAATGTATGTGCTGTGTCAGATTAAGGGAAGGGTAAAGGCAAGATTATTAGGGGAAACTGACTTTAATAGGAAGGGTTTTAGATCATACTCCCAATGACCTTGTATGGTACTAGAGTCTATGGAGGTCATCACAGGTCTTACACATCATGGGAATTCATCACAAATATTTAACTGTGACAGTGGGAGAACAGAAGTACAAATGTTTAGATGACATGCACAATAATTACCTGCCTACCTCTCAATCCTGCTCTAAGGACCCAATTATATAACATACGTGAACATGCTTTAAAAGCTGAAAAGATCTAAATAAACATAACTGCCTAAGCTCCCACAGTAAAGAATGAGGCCGTAGTTCACCCATGGCCTCTATATTTGTCTCCTAGAACAGTGCTTCTCAACATTAATGTGCCCAGAAATCACCTGGAGATCTTGCCAAAGAGCAGATTCTAATCCGATAGGTCTGGGGTGGGGCCAAGACTCTGCTATCCACCCAGTTCCTGGGCGATGCCAGCTTCCGGGACCACCCTCGTGAGAAGGGAAGCTCTGAAAGATCATCCCCATTCGGCTGTTAAAGGACATACTTCCTGAGTACATTGCAGACTCGGTCATCCCTCACGTGAGCTTTGGAGTAAGTCTGCATGCTTCATTTGGTTCTGAATCGAGTACTTTAAACAGTAGCAAAGTGCTCTTTCTTGGGCAGTCCAAGAAGTAAAGGGTTGATTTTTAATGAGGGTGTCTGCCTGTTCCAGTTTTCAAGGACAAGAGGCAGCAACACGCAAAAGCACAGAGAGCTAATTTGCCAGTTTACTATTCTATGACTTCAGTTCATTTCGGAGGGGGGTTACAGGAGGGGGCGAACTCTGTCCTTGTAAACACACCCAGACACACACAGCAAGAGAAAAACCTGCCAGTTCCAAATTGGCAGGAGAGACTACATTATCTTCTCAATCTGAAGAAGAGGGCTCAAAATATCTAGGAGGGAAAAACAAAACAAAACAAAACACCTGAGCAAACAAGAAACTTGCAGAAATGCTGCTTCCTCCTGATACAGAAGCACTCGGGGCTCCTGGAGTCAGCCAAGAAGAAAAGGAAAACCAGCAGGCTCTGCAGACCAGCCACTCTCCAGGGTGGGCATGCATCAGCATCATCTAGCTTGACAAAATTCAGACCGCTCCGCCCCCGAGTTTCTGACTGATCAGGCCTGGGGTAGGGCCCAGAGTCTATGCAGGGGGAGGCACCGTGTCTCACATACAGCTGCACCCCCCAGGGCCCAGCACAGTGTTTGTCCCCGGCAAAGATTTGCTGCACAGACGCCCATTCTCACTTTCACTTCCAGAAACAACTTCACTGCTTGCATACCTATACTTGCTGCAGGCATCTTGTACACACGCTCATTTCAAGAACCAATCACACATGTCCCAGGCAGGCCAGCCCCTGGCCTGAAGGGCTGTACCGTTAAATGCAATCAATCCCCATCAAGGACACCACTATCACACTTTCTCCCGATACTATCTGGACAGTCAGTCTTGGAGCCTTCTACCACTAAAGTGGAAACAGACAACTCAGCTGTCCAAAGGACCCTAAAAAGAAAGACCCGACTTAGGTAAAAACAGGCCAACTCATTTCACACATACTCATGCAAAAAAAAAAAAAAAAATTTTTTTTTTTTTTTTAAATCAAGACAAGAATTTGCCAGGAGGGCACACAAATGTCTGCGTCCACCTTGGAAACCCAGAGGTGGTGCCGCGTCCACCTTGGAAACCCAGAGGACCAAGGTGCAGCCCCATGGCAGAAAGCGCAGGGAAGGTTGCAGATTTCTTCCCTGACTCCGAGCTCTGTACCAAGCAAAAACCAGAAGGGGCTGTGGCAGACGTTCTTCAAAATCTCTTCGTGATCTGCACGTTACCATAGTCACATTCATCCCGAAAAACAGGTGTTTCTGTTAAAATTAGCTGTTTCAAACTGTCAGATGCTTTAGATCCCTATGAGAGCTTTAAAAAAATAATAATAATAACCAATCAGATGTAACTGATCCTTCCATAGTCATAAAGTCTTTAGATTTTCTTGAGAACCATGACCCTAAATTAGAAATAAAAACTCAGGTGGAGATGAGGATGGGGTAGGGAAGAACATACACATTCCACACACACACACACACACACACACACACACAACTTCTTCATTTCCCAACATCAACCCACAATGAATAAGAGAAAAAAGCCAAGCTTAAAACAGCTAGGGAAAGACAGAGCTCTTTTCTAGTTAAGTCTTGTGTTTGAAAGCCTTTTGTCCCATTTACTTGGGTTGACTGTCATAAATAATGGCTTTTGTTCCAAGAACTTAGCCATAATGATTTCCTTCTCTCCTGACCATTCAAAGGAAGGTTTTCGACATCCCCACTCAGGACGGTGCCCATTAAGCCTGTGTACGAAAACTTGCCCTTGGAAGTCAAAAGAGCCCAAGGATTCAGGTCTTAAATTAACTCTAATGTGGTTTAATTAAAAAAAAAAAAAAAGAATCAGGCCATTCTGATTTTATTCCTGGAACCAGTATCTCTGCTGACCTTATTAAGGCCAATGAAATAGGTCTGAGATGCTCCTTTTTAAAAATCAGGACTATTTCAAAAACAAGTTTAGCCAGCTGGTGCACTAGAAGCTAAAATGTCAAAGGCCTGGGTCCAGATCCCTTGCCTAGCGAAGCAATGCAGATACACAGAAATGCCATGCACTCCTGCTGAAAAAAATACAAAAATCCATTTCAAGCCACCTGCTGGAAGAAAAATCCTACACTTAATCTCACAGACACAGGTGGGCGGGGGGAGGGGGGTGGGGGGAGATGGATGTTAAACCACCACCGAACACCAAAACTTTTAACAACTTCAGAGGACAGATATTTTGAATATTACAAGTCAACATCTTTAATATACAGAAATGTAAAGAGCCACAATCAGTTGGCTAAGACAAAAAGAAGTTTCAAAATTAATTTGGTGGCAAGCTAGTTAACTTCATCCAAGTAGATAGGGAAAGCGATATATATATATATATATATTTTTTTGGCATACACTGTCCTGAAAATTGCTTCTGCAAAAGGAATGAGTCCAAGGAACAACTGGCAATCATTTTCGTCTTAATCAAACACCAAATTTACAGATTTCTGGCTCTAATTCTGTTTTACTTTGTTCCTTTCAGTTTACTCTTTGTGATCTGCATAGGCTAAATGAACCACATAATTAGAAACTCTATAATTACTTATGTATATCCAATAAATAAAAGTAAGTAAAAGTCCTAATATGCAAGCAGGGTTGTCATTGGCACGTGGGTTCAGTTTCCTCCCCGCAAATAGTTCCCAAAACCTGACCCACCCAGACTAAAGGGCAGGGGGTAGAGGAAGAAACATTCTCAAGGTCATTGTCACTTTTTAAAGACTTTAACAGTTCAAATCTACCCGGCCTAAGAGAGAAACAACAGCTCCCTTGACTGTTTCTAAGAAATGTAGGTACACTACCGCTTTAAGACTTTCCCAAACATCGAATTCAGAGCAGCTCCCGGATCCTACTCTTACCCAACACAGGTTTAAAGATGCTTTACGTGTTGAATATGTTCTTGTAATAAATACAGCTATTCAAGTAAAACAGTCAATAGGACTTTCTAACATATTACAGTGAAAAATGCTTTCTTCTCAGATCCTTGGGAACTACAAAGGTTTAGGCACAACAAATCTGAAGAAAAATGTAAACTGAGCAAATTTAAAGCACGTAGGAGTTTTTACCCATGTGGCTTTCCCAGGGCAAGCACTGAGAATGTTACACTTTCAGTGGGAAAACGTCCAAAACTTAACAAGGTTCAGCAAAACTCTACAGCCCTCCCTCCCCAATTTTTTTTCTTAAAATGTCTGCAGAAAGGACAAACTCCCTTAAAATAACTCCAAACCTCAGTTAACGAAGCCTTCTTCCAACATAAGATCAACCAGGGCAGATCTTAGATCAAGGTCACAAAAATCAGCCCTTTGCCAGCAGCTATGTTATAGCTCTAAAAGTTCTTAACACTTTCCAGAATAGCTCTCCCTCTGTTAAACAGTCTAGGATCCTGCGAGCTTTGTCCTACAATCAGGAGTGACTGGGTCTTGTGTGAACAGACCCGCCCACATAAAAGAGGCCACAAAGTCTCCTGAAAGTCCTTGCTAGAACGCACTTTTCAGCTCCAGCAAACAGATCCTCTGACCCGGGAAGGGTGGGGTACCACGCAGGATTAGGAAGAGCCTGAATCTGAGATAGGCAGAATACAAATCAGACCTCGGTCAGCCTGAACCACTGTCCATCAGGACAGACAGAGGCGCAGACACAGAGGGGGCTGAAGTACTTTGCAGGAGAAACCAGAGGCACGACAAAACCCCCACGGGCCAGCCCAGCGCCAGCACCATGCATACTGCGATCATTCCCGGGGCACCTGGCTCTGCGAGGACAGTGTTCTCGAATTCTAGGCTGCTCAAAGAGGTCACCCTCGAGGGAAAAGGGAGACAGGGCTAAGGCGGGGAGGCACTGCTTTCTTTCCAGGGTGCCCTTCCAGAGACGACATGCAGGCATGCAACGTTATTACAATTATTGAAAATCAACAATAATTGCAAAAGGCCATCTGAGAAACATAACATTTTAATAGATGAAATAAATACTCCAGTACATGCAAGGTAAAAACTTGACATGGGGGGGGGAGGGCAGGGGGGGAACCACTCTATAGTGTAAATTAAAAAATAAAACACACACTCACAGTAGCTTTTCCCCCCATTTGCAAATCACATGGCAAAGTCATACTCTTTCCACACCAAGTATACGCCTAATCCAACACGATTGCTTAAAAAAATAACAACATACAAAAAAGGTAGCTACATCCATGTCTAAGGAGTGAAACTGAGGTAACCTTTCTTTTAATTAGGAAAAAACAAAAACGAAAAGACCGAAAAAGAAACGAACCCATGACCTCGTTCCTGCCCAACTGATAAGAAAATTTAGTGGAGGAACTCCAGAAGAGGTGCTGGGGCGCGGTGGGGGCACGCCACCTCCGGGTCCCTGCTGGGTGTGCGTAGATTGGCATTGCCCCCCCGCCTTCCCCCCCCCCCACCGTGCGCGCGGGTGTCGTGGGAGCGCACGGCCCCGCTCTCTGGAAGGTTCCTCTGGAGCGTCTGACATGGGGGCGGGGCGGGGGGGGAGCTTCCCCTGGGATTTCTTTGGTATAAATGGAGAGGGGCGGAGAGTAAGTATCTTCCTCTAGTCTGGGGGGGAAGAAAGAAGGGGCGCGGGGCGGGTGCTAATTCACAGAATTGGAATTCACTGGCGGTAAAGTCCTGGGCGAAGACCTCTCCCGTAAAGCCTGAGATAGCAGGGTGCAGCCTTCAGACACGGCGCAGGCCGAGTTCCTCAGCCTCTCCCTGTGGTCCGACATCTTGGCGCCCCCGTCGGGGTGCTGCGCCAGATCCCTGAGGCACTGGGTCAGGAGCACGCAGGCCGACACCACGCTCATGGCGCCGCCCAGGATGGCGGTCTGCACCGCCTTGCCCTCGGCGCTCACGGCCGCCGCGCGACCCAGGAACTGCGGCTCGGTGGCGAAGCCCACCAGGGCGCTCACGGCCTGCACCAGCGGCCCGCTGAAGAGCGCGCAGCGGCTGCGGGCCAGCTCGCTGGGCGCCGCCTTCACCTCGCGCACGCAGGCCAGCAGCGCCGACGCGCTCGTGCTCATGCACTTGACGCCCAGCTTGAACTGCTCGCGGGAGAAGCGGTCCCGGGACTTGTCGCTGGCCAGGGCGCACGCGTCCGTCAGGAACTTGAGGTTGCGCGACAGGCCCTGCGACACCTCCAGCAGCAGCTGCGGCGTCATGTCGGCCAGCGGGGTGGCGCGCAGCACGGCGCAGCCCTGCTCCACCTCGTGGCGGCAGCGCGTCACTCGGTAGCGGTCCACCAGGCCCGGCTGCGCGGGCTGCGCGCCCGGCGTGGCCACGGCCGCCAGGTAGGCCGCGTGGGCGGAGCACTCGGTCAGCGACACCACCAGGTCGCCCAGCTCCACCAGGCTGTCCCCCGCCTCCCCGAAGCGGCCCATGTTGAGCTGGCTCTGCACGTCGTGGGTGAGGATGGAGAGCCCCTTGGTGCGCGCGATGATCGTGTCCCGGCACTGCTCGAAGGACTCGGCGCCAGCACAGGAGGAGGCGGGGCCCTCGAAGAGCACGGGCCGCGCCTCGCTCGACAGCAGCAGCAGGTCGGCCACCAGCTGCATCTTGCCCTTGCAGTGGTCGCAGACGGACACCAGCCTCTTCCGCGGCTGCGAGCAGGCCCCCCCGACGGCGCTCGCAGGAGCCGGAGAAGCCGCCTCGCCAGTGGGCTTCCCAGCGCTGCCGCTAGCCATCGCGCCCGGGGGGCACTGGCATGCCGCTGGGGAGCCCGCTACCGCCGCCGCTGCCACTGCCCCCGCCCCCGCGGCCGTCGCGACTCAGCTGGCCAGGGCCGCGGTGCCTTCCCCGCACCATCATGCCATCCACCGCGCCGGGCAGAGGGCACTGGGCTGCGGCGGCCGGAGCCCGGGCGGCGCGGCGCGGGCCCGGGGGCCAGAGGACGCAGGAGGCTCTTCGGGGCGCGGGGAGGGGCTGCAGCGTTCGGCCTCCTGGACGGCTTGCAGGAACCATGAACCGCGCAGAGCAAACTCACGCAGCGCGCTCCTCGCCGCCGGGCTGCCAGGAAAGTCCCTTCTGCTGGGCCGCCGTCGCCGCCGCCGCCTTCCTGGGCATGGCCCGGCCCGGCCGCCGGAGCGGGAGGGCGGGAGGGGGAAGCTGGGAGTTGTCCTTCCTTCCTTCCTTCCTTTCTTTGAAATCAAAATCTCTTCCTCGGGGAGGAGCGCGGGCGGCGGCTCGGGCGGGCTCTGCTGTCAGCCACCTCGGGCTCGGCGGCGCACGTGGGCTTTCAGGCACCCTGGCCCCGCC